TACTTAGAACAGGGTTCCTTTACAGGGTTCTTGTAAGGGCTTTCAGGGATGATAAGGGTTTAGTATGGCGGCATGAATATTCAGAATAGCGTTTCGGAGTTTTGTAATGTTAGACTACATAATCATGTCAAGGAACTTACTCCCTAATCTATCGCAACTCTTTCGACACCTACAAGGAGCTACCCAGCAACGTGTTGCTCCAGCCAAAAGTCCATCTCTGAGTGTGTCAACATCCTATGAGAGCCAGCAAGCTTTAACCCACGACGAATGTGAAGATCATTATGGACGAACAACCACAGCATGTCTCCACTTGGACCTAGCTGTGGGTTAACGCTCGATTCCTCTCCCTACCATCATGCCGCCCCAAAAGCCCGGATAAAACCGCACAACATCCAACTCCTCACTCGGGTCCACAACCACCAACAAAAAGTCGCCATAACTCCAATAAGCCCAATTCTTGAGGATTTCTGCCAACAAACATGAAGCTTTCTGTTACGCCAGCGGAGCTTAAACTACTTGAGAAAAAACACGAACAGTCCTCCGAGACTTTGGGCTTGGGCCCGTCCGGCTGGGAAGTTCGGGGCACCTGAAGCTTTCTGGGTGTAGGGTTGAGAGGTTATTACAGGGCTTTCGTGTTGTTAAGAGGCGGTAGATTTAGGGTTATGTAAGTGATAGATTTCCGGCATTTTAGGGTTGAGGGGTTTCGTTCTAGGTTTAGGGTTAAGATTCCGGGCTTAGGGCAGGGGTTTCAGCACTCACACTCGGACAAGCCCAGGCGAGGGGCGCAAGTTCCAGTCTGAAAGGCTCATTGGCCGCTGCCCAGTTAGGGCTGGGGTTGGGGGTTTCTAAGTTCCGGGGAACTTAAAGAAATTAAGTCAAGGTATGAAGTGGTTGACGGCTTAGGAAACTCTAACGTGTGGTTGAGGCAGCTTAGGTCTGGCAACTCGGAACATCTTAGGGTTCAGGGCATAGGGCTTAGGGCTTTGGGTTTAGGTTTTCGCATTTAGGGTTTAGGGCTTGGGGTTCAGGGTTTAGGGCTTTGTGAACCTTCAACCCTGAACCCCAAAGCACTAAACCTCCTAGAACCCTGGACCCGAAACAACCGCATAAGCCAGTGAAACCCTGTAGCCTTCAAGCCTGAGAGAAAGCCTGACGCAGTTCAGGACGGAGTTCATAAGGCTTGGGGAAGCCGACCCGCACACTCGCGCTGGACAGGCACGGATTCATGTGAGGCTCGGAAAATCAGGATTTGGGGATTGGTTCTTCTGTTCACTTCCTTGTTCCGTCCAGGGCTCCTAATTGAAACCCTAAGCCCTTTTTGCACAGACTTGTAAAGGCCCTCTAAACCCTAACCCCTAAACCAGCCTGCTGTGCCAGCCGGCCCGGTGCGACGAAAGGGAAGGCCACGCCTAGTGCAAGGAGCGCTCAAGGCTTCGCCGGATGCTTCGGGCTTCCAGGTCGGGCGAAGAGCTTAGGAAGTATATATATATATATATATATAGGTATGTATATATATATATATATATGTAAAAAAATGAATAAATACATATGACCAAAGGTGTGTGTGTGTGTGTGCGTGTAGGTACGTAGGTAGGTAGGTAGGTAGGTAGGTAGGTAGGTAGGTAGGTAGGTAGGTAGGTAGGTAGGTACACACACACACATACATAGGTGGCTTAGATAAATAGCTACAAACACTAATGACTTACAAAATAAGTGAAACACTACATTAATGGACGTAGGCACGCTCTCGCACACAGACAGATAGCATGCATGTGTACATACATACACATTTACATATGTATGTATGCATGTAGGTACATTGTGTATGTATGTATGTATGTATGTATGTATGTATGTATGTATGTATGCATGTATGTAAGTATGCATGCATAGAACAATGCCAAACTTTTCTGCTGACAAAACTCAGGATCTCATGTTAGCGATAACTTAACTAAAAATAACAATATTGAAAGTAAGAATAAACATCGTGATACTCATAATAGTAAAAAAGAAAAATGCGGATAAACGAACTAATAAACATATTATATATATATAGACATATATATATATATATATTGATACACATAGTCATGTCATATATCAACAACAAGTTGTCGCTACTATCCTTTCAACAAACATGCGCACTATAATGGTGACAGCAGAAAAATACAAGGCTAAATATTTCTCACCGTGTATGTATGCGTATATACAGGTAAATGTGTGTAAATTTATACATGTGTATACACGCACATCTGCATATGTTTATGTGTATACACGCACATCTGCATATGTTTCTGTAGATTATATGTACTAGTTTATTGTCGCCCCAACAATAGGAGTAACAACAACTGGTGAATGTTCCTGTGAGGACGGAGGTTCCCGGGGGCGCGGCTCCTGCGCATGCTTGGCACTCACATCCATTACAGCGTCCAGGCGACCACTTTGGCCCGAAGCCCGACTGACTCATGCAAATTCCAAAAGTTTCTTGCTAAATCTTGCCGGTACATGCGGGAAGCATTTTGGCTCTGGGGGAAGCAGTTGGGCTGTGGTGTCCTGTGGCCTCTCTTCGTGGTCTGGCAGTGTCCTGCTGGTCTGTCTGCTGGCGGTCGTGGTTGTCATGGTCGTCGCGGTGCTCTATCACTGTTTGGGAGTCTAGACCGGCAAAGTCTTTTTCTATATATGCACATATATATATATATTTATTTATTCATTTATCTATTTGTTTATTTCGGTACACAAATGAATAAATATGCGCGTATACGTATGGAAATATCATTTCGGGTTTAAGCATTCAGGGGTTGTTTTTGGAGAGCCTTGCCATGGTCCGCCGAAAGATGTGTGTTTGGGGCTTGGCCTGTAGGGCCTGTAACGTAGGGGTTTTAATGATTAGAATAGGGTTCCTGATTATAATTATAGTAGAAAGGACCCCCCAAACCCTGTTCCAATTATTAAAGCCCCTATATCAGGGCCTGTAGGGTCTAATCTGGGAGATAACATACCCAGGAAGGCAAAGCAACAAACAGGAAACACCAACTGCCCGAGCCAAACCGAATCAAGAGGACGCCAGAAGCCATTTTAATATCCTCCACAGACACGTCTACTAAAGGAGTGGAGGTTTATCCACATCAATAACTTGGCCCAGTGCTGGAGGCCGCTTCTTGAGTAGAAGCACGGAAAGTTACAGCCCCCCCACTGGCAACAGCACAGACGAAGCTACGTAGACGAGGAGTAGTAGTAGCAGCAGCAG